GGAAATCTAGAGATGTATGGAGCGAGGAAAGGAAAGAAAGTAACCAGTTTGTAAAGTGTGTCTGGAAAAGCAGCTGTGTGTTTGGGTTTGGATGCTTCCACTATCACACACTATCACACACACACTATCACACACACACACTATCACACACACAAACACCATACTTGTCAACCCTCCCAATTTCATTGCCCTCTCCCGGTTTCCTCCCGGGGTCATATTTCTCCCGCATTTCTCCCGATTTCTGACAAAATCAGATTTACTCAGGACTGTTTCCACTCGGACTTTAATACAGCTACACCATTGTTTGGTTTCCATGGTAACAAGTCTCTTTAGTAGCGCGCAACTCGAAGTCTGAGAGGGTGAGGCAAGGCAGTGCACTTACAACTACAATAAGCATATGTTAATGTTAATCTAACAGCTCCGGCGATCCACTAGCACCCCCCCACCCCCCATTTTGCATTTTGAAATACTCCCGATTTCTGAGGTCTCAAGGTTGGCACACACACACACACACACACACACACACACACACACACACACACACACACACACTGAGGACACCCTCCACGCTCTGGCTCAGTGGTGAGGGACAGCTATGTACGTCTCTTGTCCCGTCATGTAACTCTTGAGGAGACAGAAAAGAAATGCAAGATAGAGGAATGTATGTCACACACACACTTGGCAGCAGGACAAGGTGATGACATGAGTTTGACGGCCTGAATTATGCTTCTCTGCAGATAACCTAGACATTGTAAAAGAGATATTCACCAGGATGTTACTCATATTTTAATTTGACAGCTTTCTGTGTGGTTACCAAAGTCGTATATATATCCCCTCCTGCTGTTTTATGAGCGTTTCTATCGTCTAGTCTCTTTGCTGCGACTTGTTGTTAACTCGTGTAACTGTCCAGACATGCTAATACTGCGCTGAGAGACACAATGGTTGATGAAGCAGCAGAAAGTCAAATGTGTCTAGGCCCTCGTGGTTCAACCCTTTTTACATCAGTCATTTTAAACACAGTGTCAGAAGACGGGAGTACCGGAGGGGTACAGGCTAACACCTGGTTAAAAGCTCCCCCCCCTCCCCCCCCCCTTCTTTCCTTCCTGGCTCCCATCACCCATTTGTCTCCATCTTTACCTTCACCTTTGGCCTCATCAGAGGAGGGAACATCTGGAGAGTTTTGTTTCCGATCCATGTGATTGATTTTGTCTCGTTAGCTACCGGACTTTGACAGCACCTTGTTAGCTTGTCTCCGCTGTCTTGCTGTTATTCTGATTAATACTGAAAATGCTACATCTACGCATAGCTTAGCAAATAAAGCTGCTTCTAACAGAGCTTCCTCAATTTATTTAAATATATGAAACGTAAAAGCAGATTAGTTTAGACCTGTCTTTTGTCTGTTTCCTGTCTTTCATTTCCTGAATGTAGCACCAAGATGCTACGTTTTCTTTTATTTATTTGTTTATAAGTGTATCATCTTGTTATTTGGAGAAAGTAAACTGAGCACTGTAGAAGGTAATAGTGTCATTAGTTGTCATGACCTTACTGTAACTGGTTATTCAAACCCAATACACTGTGTCACAGGAACTGCTCTTGCCTGAAAAAAAGGGGTTAGCTTACACTTAGAAGCTAATGTTAGCGCACTAGCATTAGCCAAAACAGCTAACAGTGGACGCTAGCCCTTAAATGACATATTTCTTATTTGTTCATTTGACTTAGAACAACTTGTAGAGCTGCATTGTTGTCATTCACACTTGTTACCCCTTTTCTGTCGCTATCTTTCGTGAATATAGCTTGTTGGTTAGTTAGCTATTTAGCTAGTTAGCTATGTGCTAAGATGACATCCCTTTTCTTTATCCATTCGGCTACATCATTGCATTTCTCCCAACTTTTCTGCTTTCCCACGCTGCTAGCAGGTGTTTGGTTTGACTTCATCGTGGCAGAACCTTATCCAGACTCAACACATTTAAGATATCATCAGTCAGAGTTAGGAGGATCTCGTGCAATTGTTCAGTCTCTTCTCAAGCTGTTCCTGTGTGTGCTTTCAAAAATTGTATTGCCCAAATCTTACCCAACCCCACATTTCTACGAAACAATGCTATTAATCAGACGGTCTAGGGCAGGGGTGTCAAACTCAATTTCATCACGGGCCACGTAGGAATTATGGTTACACTCAAAGGGCCGGTTGTAACTTTAAGACTATATGAAAATATTTAATATATAGGCTATAAAATAATGCATTATATTACATGATTGCCTCTGAATTGGATTATTATCTGATAGGGTAATACATTCATAATTAACTACGTCTGAAAGCAGAAGTCTAGGGCAAGTATTGCAAGTCTCTTCAGTGAGAATGTCACAAAATTATTAAAAAAGAAAAGCCATATTCTGGAAAAAAAAGAAAAAGTGATATTTTGGGAAAAACTTACATTTCGAAGAAAAAGAAAGTGACACAAAAAAAATCTGAGAAAAGCGGAAATTCTAAGAAAAAAGGCATATTTTGAAGAAAAAAAGTCAAATTTGAGATGCATTGTGGGACATGTAGTTTATGGGCAACGTGCTTGTGTAAATCGCCATGTAACCGTATAATAAACATATTATATTCTTTCAGAGCTCTTGCTGGGCCACAGAAAATGAAGTCGCGGGCCGGATTTGGCCCCCGGGCCTTGAGTTTGACACCCCTGATTTAGAGTGTGGAAAAAGGGGAGACACCGACATGCCTCGGGCAGAAGAGGTTGACTAAACTTGTTTACTTTTGATAGAATGATCAATCACACTTGTGTTAACTCTGCAATGACATGACAACATGCCTGTTTCAAATGTACAATGTCACAGAGTCAAGACTGTTGCCAGTTCAGTTACTCTAACAATAAAACCAAAGGATTATTTTCCAACGCAAACACACCCATATTCATCAGTTTCAAACCTAATGTAAAATGGTGCCTAAAACACAACTTTCATCTGCTGGATGACATATTGTCTGGAAAGTTTTCACTGCCCAAACACTGCTGCCAGCCAACAAATGATGGGAGTGGTGAGGGAATGGTTTTACAATGTGTTTTTGAAGTAACTGCTCAAAACTAGACATTGCCATTATATCTTTACTGTAGGAAACACATAAATAGGTAAGTGTGACACACATAAAAAAAAAAGAACTTCCAAAGAAACAGTAAAGTTTTCTTGATAATCCAGCATCCTACTAAGAATTAAAACGCCATGCCATGGGCGTATTGATTTACAGTAAGTGACACAGACACATGAACTGCGTAATGTGGGCTAAAAGGCTTTGTCTGATGTATTTTGTTTTGCCATGGTCCACCCTAATAACAGTTGCATGCCTGCTGTCTGCCAGCTGCTGTAACAGCCAGCGCAGTGCTGGAATGTTCCCATGCAGGTCCTCTGTTCACACACAGCGCTACGTTAGTGGAGAAACACACTGCTAATACCATTCTCATACTATATAAGCCAAACATATTCTGCACCAGTGTGCTTTATTTCAAATAACGAAAATATTAAAATATATTGGACCCGTGCAGTACTGGCATTAAATGTTAAAATGGATTTGAAAGATGACCGATACAAATATATCAAATATAAGTGATCAAATGTAGGGCTTGGTTGCCCTGCAGGCTAAAATATATGAATGTATATATTTGCAGAAAGTGCAGATATGTATTATTGGCCATCCATACACAAAATGAAAATATTGAAGAAACCCTGCTGACACCTACTCCATATCACAGACCAAAAGCAGATACATATAATCAATATATTCATGAACATTTTTGATATTGTCTTTGTAACTCTGAAGTTGACCAGTTAAATATTTGCCTTTCTGAGGCTTTTGTGTTTGCCATGTTGGGCAGATGCCCTGTTTGGCCATGAAAAAACCCATTGAGGGTAGCAACTTGGCCACCAGTGAAAAGACTGGCTGGGATTAGGGGGTGCTCAGAACTCCTTGGATACCGGATATCAGCACACTAGATTGATGATTGGCATTGTTTCTGAAAAGGCCTCAACTTTGTGAAAGACTGCATTTTATCCCAGCCCACAGAGTAATGTCAAACATGACAGATATCTTTCAAAAGTAGTTACCTTATGCACCCATGTATATGTGGTGCATGCAATATCATAAGTAAATAAAGTAACTTTTAATTTGTCTTTCCATTTAAAATGTAAATCTGGTGAACCATGCATTCTAACATACATACAGTTGCACCGATGTGTGATGACAATAAAGATATTCTATTCTATTCTAGATCGATGTATATTGGGACGGGATGTTTGGGGTTGGTGATGGGGTAGGATAAATGTTAAAATATATCTGCATTTGTGTTAACAGTATTATTCAATACAGTCACAAGTAAATCCAATTCAAACTTTTTTCATTTGGCCTTTTTGACTCATGAGAGGACAGATTCTGTATGAACAAACAATCCTGAAGACTCTCATTACCATCCAGATGAATAATATATAATCAGTTATTTTTGAATGCATTTATCAGAATTTGGTACATACATTCATGAGCTAATTGTTCTGAAAATCAAACAAATTCTCAACTCTTTTGAATTCTTGAGAGGCACAAACAAGTGTCAGATAACTTCCTGACTGCAGTTTGAATGGTGGCTCTATGGCAATAACACCCAATCTGTGTGTTTGACAAAGCTATCACAACACTGTATCTTCAACATTGATTTGCTAGGTGTTTGCAGTGAACAATAGCACAGAAGAGTCCCGATGAGCTGTTTTGTATTAGCTTGAGTGAAATCAGTTTATAAATCACTTTCATTCCAATGTTTATGATAATACCAACATTATCTCCCTCATATCTATAAAGACTTTGAGCACAGGAATGCTTACAGATAAAAGAGAGCTCATGATGAGTTGAGTGACCAGTGAAACTCCATAATGAGGGCTGAGACGGAGGGGAGGGGGGGGCTGTCCTACCATCAGTAATCCCCTCCGCGGTGACGTCACAAAGGCTGTCTCCAAAGGGACGCAGCGTTGAGTGTTGGAGCAGCCAGGCGGCCAGTGTGCATCCCAGGACGCAACATCAGTGTAGCCGGGGCTCAACGCTTAGCTGATCGCTTCACGTCGGACGCTTTGGAAACTTACAACCATGGGTAAGTTTCTACCTACAAATCCTCCTTTAAAATCCAATGACGACTTCAAATGTAGCAGTTTTATTCGAAATGACAGCACGCTTCACACTTTGTTGTCGTCGCTCAAACTTTCGGGGCGCGCCGATTGTTTTAACGTAGACTTCTAGTGCTGCAGAAGTAGCCTGTTTACCTGACCTGGTTCCAATCGGCATTAGAGCAGCATGCTGAAGGAACTGGAAGAAAGCGATTAGAGAGATTAAGTCTATCAGGATTCCTGCAGTCAACTCTGCGGAGGTGTTTAATCCGGATCAACTCTCTGCCTCCACTGCTTTCTATAGAGCCTCAGTGCTCAGCTGTTGGGGTGAGCCATGTCATCCAAACCTGTCTTGTCTTTGTTGATTATGAGCAGGGATTGATCCTTTTGCATTTGATAATGATTGTCATTAAAAGGAATGTATTTACTTTAAATACACCATACATTTTGCTAGAATAAGTTACTGAAAGAGGAACCGTCACAATTTTGATATTAGTCAGATATTTTTGTGTTGTGCCATCTTGTATTAGCTATCTGAAGAGCGGAGCTGAGACTGTCCCCTTTTTAAAATCAGTCCCAAGTGTTGGCCATCTGTGCTCCAAGCCTAGGGGATGTGTGGGAGGAGTGAGATGTCATGCCATAGATGTTTAATAACTTCTTGCTGACTTTGAAACAGTGAAAAACTATTTTTTTTAAATGGGGAATTGACATAAAAACACTCCCAATTGTTCTCATTCAGCAATAGTCTTTGTTAGAAATCAGACTGTAAAAATGACACAGAATAAATAAAAAAATGGTAACTCTTTTTTTTTTTTTTTTGGGGAGCATTTATTGACTTGTGTTGTTTGTCAGAGCACAGCTGAAGCCCGGGAGGAACACTGTGTGCGAATGTGTATCAATGCTCATTAATTCGCTCTGAAGCTCTCACAGAGGCGTCTTTGTGCTTCTAATTTGGAGCTTCTCCTTTGTGCAACTTCAGTGGCTCTTAATGTTCACTGAAGTTCACAGAAAAGCAAGTTTCAGAGCGGATACCCTGTGAACTACATCCCAACATACCCTCTTTCACTGTCTCATAGAGGATATTACTCTGCATGGCAATCAGCCGTTGTGCATTGTCCACTAAAGCTCCCATTTTTTATTCTCCATGGCCCTTTCAGGAGTACAGCATGCTGTAGTGGGCATGAGTAGACTGATTTGGAGACTAGCTATCTGCAGAAAAAAAGTTACATTGTGTCAAATATATAAATCTGCTCGGCTTTTCCTCTCTTTTCTGTTTCATGAGAAATAGCTTTGAAAACAGAACATGGATTAACTGTTGTGCATGAAATCGTTCAGCCCAAAATAAACAGGATGTCTTGAAGGCAATTGTGTGCTGAGCGGTGAAGTGAAGATGTCTTTCAGAGGTTATATAACTTATGTCTGATTTGATTTTACAGTGACCTTCACCTCGCAGAAGGGCCACATGTTTTTTTTGAGAGATTCTCCTCTGTCCTCGGGGTAAACGATTTAACAGTGAATTGGCCTGTGTGAAGGATGTGGGAGGATAAGTTGGCTTCAGTCTGCTTTACTGAATTCAGAGCGAAACAGCAAGCCATTTTCCACAAATAACTTGTAAGGTTCTTGGTGTTTGTCCTTTGACAACTACTCACCCAACAGTGTTTAGTTGCCAAGAGTTACTTTATAACCAAACATTTGGAAAAATGTGGTCTCAGCTCCAAAACATCTGAAGAGAAAGTGTTGCCCTTAAAATAAAATTGTCTTTCATTTGAAGATCATCACTTTACCAAGAAAAGCATGACATGACACAGCAGTGAAAGATTCATAATCTTTCCTTGCTGCAGATTGTAGCCCCACATAAGCACATTTTATTATTCTCTTTGGAAAGAAGATTGGAAGCTTGTATTTAATGTGAAAGATTCACCATATTTACAATGTATGGCTTTAACAGACACAATTTGATTATGTGCTTAACATTTAAAGCTGATCTTATGACAGGAGTTTCAATTAATCAAATACAGCAAGCTATCGACACGACTATAAACACTGGGTCTGTTCTTCCTGGAGACAGATTCTGGAAGAAGATTGTTTTTCCTTATGGAAACTAATGGATCCTCTAGTCAGAGTGTTTTGTATTCAGTCTGGTGGTCTTGTGGAAAAAGGTCATGAAGGCTGGATTCAAACAGCTCCATAGATTATGTCATGTGTGGTTGATATTTTTGAGAATGTCAAGAAAAAGACAGTAAATCACAGCTGACAGTTTTGAACGTGTCTTTAATTAAACATCTTGCTGTAGTTCAACGGCTCAATTGTTACTGACACGTGTTTTTTTTTAAAAACTGTATGCCTAAACCTGATCTAATGTTTAAAATGTTTTGGTTTTAGTGAAGAATTCTCTGTTCTTTATTGATTGACAAACACAGGAGCTGGACAGTGTCCTTCATAATGATTTGTACATGTGTGTCTGTGAAGGGTCTGTGTGGTGGGGGCTGTGTGATGTGTATTCCTCCTCTGTCTGAACTGGGATGTCTGGAAAGTGTCTGATTATTTAGTTAACACATCAGCAGTGATCACTGTCACAGACACATGTTCTGTGACCCTGCATCCTGATCTGAGGAGAGGAAAGACCCCTGACTGCTTACGCTGCTCAAAGAGATGTTTTTTTTCACTCTCGGAATCAACAACTTGTCATCTGATGGCAGAGCAATAACAGAGTCGGATCATTTCCCCCTGCTTTTAGTTGACTCATGGCGATATGGTCCTCAGAGGCATGTGGTACAAGTCACGCACATGCTTCTGTTTCCAAGAGATGAAGAGAAAAAATAACCACAGGGCTGCCAGAATGAGTCAGAGGGTCAGGGTGTTGAGAGAAATTCAACTGTGCTCTTATCCGTTTGTTTGTTTGTTTGTTTGTTTGTTTGTTTGAATCAAGGCCTAACCTAAAAAAGATGGCTTCAATGAATCCCCCCTTCTGAGTCACTGTTTTACGACTGATCCCCACATTTCTATGTCACCATCGCAAATTTCCTAAATTGCATTTGGTTTTTTGCAATCATTAATGAAGTATGTTGCTGTCATAGTTAAATGATTTCTGGGCTTCTTTCCATTTGGCATCGGATATGATCGAGCATCTTTAGTAATTACACAGCAGATGAGGCCCATGCAATACTTTTTTGAAACTGTGCAGCTCTAAAAAGAGAATCCTATAGTTCAATCAAGACTTCATTCATCTTCTGCTTCCTTTCCTGCTCCACTTAGTTTCCTCTGAAATCTCCCTCCTCTCACTTTCTCTCTCTGGGGGTAGCCTTTCCGCTCTCGTCTTCACCGCCTCTCTCTGCCTTTATATATTTAGTCGTTTCTCTGTAGCCCTGCAGGTCTGCCAGAGCAGTCATGATCATTTGTTGAGCTTAATAACTCCTCCGACAACAAAGGGGGCCATTGAGTATTGTGACATGAAATGATAGGAATAGAAGTTCCTGAGTGGGGATGCTTGATGAAGCGTGTGCATTGCTCGTCACTTTTACTGAAAGCCCTTTCACAGTTGAAAAGAAGTGATGCGAGTGGGTTTGTGTGTGTGTGAGTTCGTCCTTGTTAAAGATATGTCAGGGTCAAACTGCTACATGGTAGAAACAGGATGGTATATCTGAAATGAGTTCCTATATGCATAAGTTCACAGATGGTTCAGACATGAGAATGCAGCTGAGCCCTGTTGGTGTATAAAATATGCCAAAGATACAATCTGGCCTTTATTTACGACTGCAGGAAAACACCCACGATTTTCAAGGTTAAAGCGCCAAATACATGCATAATAAGGTCTTTTTTTTAAAAACTTTTGCTTTAGTTATACAATATGTTGGCATCATTGAGTGCACACAGAGCGCAGATGTGATATTTGCTAGTGGAGCTGCAATCTGTCAGTGTTTTGTTCACAGTCAGATGATTGTTCCAGAAGGCCTGTGGTAAATAATAGGTTGGGAAAAGCAAAGAGCCCCTGCGGCTGATGGACATTCACTCACTCATTCAACAGGCATTCAGCCCCACTGCAGGATTTTCTGCCATCTACAGTGAACCACATTATTACAGCTCTGTTTGACCACATTGGCTACAGCACCCAAAACACTTCATGTGTTTTGATTCCCATGAGCAGGGGACATTGATTAAACAGTCAATAATGTTTTCACAGAATGACCTATTTTCGCTTGATAGTCTTTGACAGTCTTTTAAGCTAGTAAATAGATTGTAATGTGTGAAAAGAGACTAAAAAGTGTGATTACTCCACACAAAATGATGCCTGTGGTATATAGCGCTATGCTACACAACACACACAACATTATACTCTGGATCTGGGCCAGAACTTTTAGCCATTGGTGGACCACCAGTCTTAAAGGCTAAAGTCTGATGCATAAGTAGCAGGCTATCTTTCAAAATCACTGATCTCCTCTTCCAGCTGAACATTTCTCATTGGTGTAGGTATACTTCCTGAAATGCATTTCAAATTTCGTTGCAGTTTATTGCCTGTCCGATGGTCAAACAGTTTATAAAAGCCACGCCCTACTTAGAAAAAACAGTGGGATGCAATTTTGTCAACAGAAAATCCAACAAGCCCGTCAACTTCATACATCAATTGGCGGTGTGTGTTTTAAGGGTTTCATATTTTTTTGTATGTACAAACGAGTGCAACACAATGAACACTTTATAGGAAAGACTGCCTAAAAGTGCGAGCCATTGAATCCACTTTTCATAAATGTTTGCATCGAACTACTTTTTGCCGCACCTAATGTGTGGACTTTCTTGCAATAAACAATTTTGCCATCAGATTTTGTCAGACACCCGGATAGGTTTGTGAGTTTTAAAGTCCGTCTTAAAACAATAATGAGGGGCACAAACAAGCCTTGAAGCAGCTTTACTTGTGTGAGTCATCAAAAGTCAAGTAGTGCTTGTTGTGAGACTTCCACATCCAATTTTAAATCTTTGGCTTGTTTAAATTGCA